GAGTGCATACATCAGAATTATTTTTTTTTTTGCGTTTCTGCGGGAGTTTGAATTTTCATCTCTTCAGTACTGAAGAGAAATTGGCGTGGCTTGTCGGCCGCCATGTTCAGCTTCCATTAAACCCGAACCTCCCTCAAGTTTCAACTTTCTTATCCTTACCTCTCCTTCCTCTGTTCACTAATTCTAACCCAACTTCCTAACAGAATCCTAAAATTCTGCAAAGACCACACCCTCTACCCATCCATCAAAGCTGGGGGGTACGGTACAGCCGGGTGGGCAATTAACGGGGACATCGTTGTTGACCTCTCGAGATTGAATGATATTGATATCGAAATGCCTCGCCCCGTTCCAGAGACTAATAATAAATCGGAGCATGGTGGGTTTACGAGGTTGAGGGATAGTCCGATTCAGGAGAGTGTCGGTGGGAAGGGTAAGGCGAAAGAAAGCGATTCTTCGAGCGTGATAGAGGAGAGAACAGGCGGGTTCGGTGAGAAAAAGGAGAGCAGGAACGGGAATGACGAGAGGAACGGAAACCCTTCGAATGGTAATGAACCGGGAATGGGAATGGGAACGGGGAAGAGGAGACGAAGTCCGTTCGATACGTCTACAGGTCTTCCACGCGACCCGTTCGTCGCGAAGTTCCTTCAAATGGACGGCTCTGGCAGCGAAGAAAACGAAGATGAAAGTAAAGTGGAGAAAGACAACTTGCCTTCTCCTCCAATTCGTCGTCGACTCGATAACACCCAGGCCGATACCAACACGCGTACGTCATCTTCCATTGTATCTGGTATTTCCGGTATACCTACTGTCGACCTTCGTGATCATGGCCCAGGAACCGGAACCATCAACTATAGTGAGAATAAAAGCGAGGACGGGGACCAGTTTCCAAATGTAGGCTCGGACAGCATGTCTCCCTCCGGGAGCGTGGTAGGGAGCGGGAGCTCAAACACCACCAGTACTGGTACTGATCGGACGATCTCCAATGATGGATCCTACATTTCCACTACCACCAACACGTCTATGTCCGTGTCCGGTTCTGGTTCTGGTTCGACGGCGTATACGACCCCCGCTGGTAGTACAGTGGCTACCAGTACTGGTAATGCCAGTGATGACGGGAAGGGTCTAAGCGACGTAGACATGGATGTGGACTTGGATGAAGGAAAAGAGAAAGAGAAAGAAGACGCTGCAGATGTGATTGGGACCGTCTCTGCTGGTTTAGCTGACCCGAGTGGTGTTATGGAGGGGTTACGACAAATGGTTCCTTCCCCTTCCCCTTCCTCCTCGTTTTCTCCCTCGTCTGCTGATGGTGTTAGTGTTGCGGTTACTTCTAGTACTCTTCCTACACCAACAAACGCCACACAGGCTCAAGCAAACAATACATCCTCTGCGCCAACTCCAACCCCAGCTCAAGACCCTTCCTCCACGACCACATCCCGTCCAGAAAACTTCAGCATCCGCTCCGTAGACCCCTTCGGATACATGAGCGGCCCAGCGAGTGCGCGAGCTCCCGCATACGTCTCGGGTGTGAGGCCGCAGAGGGGTTATGAGCAGCCTGCGTTTGGTCTGGGTGGTACTAGTACCACGACTGCTACTGCCGCGTATCCGCTCTCTTCTTCCGGGGGTGTGGGAGCAGGGGCGGGACCGTCGAGTGTGCCCATGGTTGTTGACTCCTCTTCCGAGGGCATCGGCTCGGGGACGGCGACGGGGAGGCCCGGGTTCTTGTCTGTCGTGAGTGACGTTTTCCTCTCGTGCATCTTATCTCGTATCTCGTGCGTGTTACTGACCGACGATTTAATCTATGCGACTTGTGTTTGGATTTGGAACGGAACACGAACGATAAAAATCAAATAGGCAGCTGCACCCGTTCACCCATATGCATACGTTTCCTTCGGTGCAGGCGTGAAACAGAAAGACATCGACTTGTTCACTGCTGCGCACCCGTTACCTGCTACGTCTGCGAATGGGAACATGTTGTCGAGTATTCCGTATCATGTTCCTTTGTGCGTCATTCTCATCTCCTCTCCCTCTTCTTTCGAAATTTATTCCTGTTTTTTTCATACTGACGCGTACAAATTTGACTTTATTTTGTTTTCTTCTTACGCGACGATTCTGCGGTTGTAGGGCAGCGCACCCCGTGGGCTCGAGCGTGATGATGCTCGGTGGATTCGGGTTCCTTTCCCGTCTACACGGACTGTCAATCGACGCGCTTGTTGAGGTGGAGATGGTACTGGCAGACGGAAGCGTCGTCTATGTGAGCGAGAATGAGCATCCTGGTCAGTTCCTTTTCCTTTACGCTTTTCCAACCACCACTACCCATTATTCCATATCCACCCCTCCAAAAAACATTGAAAAGAGCAAAATGCGATCGCTAATGATTGGATTTGCTTTTATTATACAGATTTATGGTGGGCACTTCGAGGTGCTGGACCTGCGTTCGGTGTCGTGACGAGGTACAAGGCGAAAGCGTACCCCGTTCCTGTCGTCTTTGCAGGGAACCTCATCTAGTACGTCTTCCAGTCTCCCTACCCTTTCTTCCGTCGGTGTATTCTAAATACCTATCCTTTATCTTTATTCCTCGCGACAGCAACTTCCACCCACACACCACCGCCTCACTCATCAAACACTTCCGCGACTGCGTCAAAGCCGCCCCTCGCGAACTCTACACCAACGTTCTCCTCACTGCCGGACCTGCCGACAAAGGTTCACTCGTCGTCGTTCAATTGTGTTATGTTGGGCCGAAAGAGAAGGGAAGAGAGTTTTTGCAGGCGCTGCAGAGCGTCGAGAGTGGGGAGAAGTGTTTGTTGAATGAGGTGTGTGAGAAGACTTTCTTGAGTCAGCAGGACAGCGTTGCGCAGATCTTGAGGGGGAAAGGTGGGTGCTCTCCAGTCCCTAAGTCTTTTCGCGTAACTGGATAAGGCTGATTGGTGTTTTGCGTTCTGCGTGTAGCTGGACGACAGTGGTACATCCGCTCGGCGCTGATTAAACCACTATATAGACTACACCTGCTCGTAGTTTGCCTCTCAGCCCCATACAATGAATTCCTGATCCGCGTTGGGCTAGTCATCAGGAAAAAGTCGCATTTCTTATAATGTATTGTAGACTTTGTAAAACATAATGTAAGTATTGTATATACATTGTAATAAAATTATAAGGATCTTACAGTTATTTGCAATGTATATACAATATGTATTTTACTTTTACAAAGTCTACAATGTATTATAATGAATCCGACTTTTTCCCAATGTATTCATCAGACGTGAGCATCCAGATATCTATCGATTTCTCTCGTCTCCAATATTATTAATACCTTCCCGACACCTATAGCTCTATCCAAGTCCCGCCGACAGCCTTTTACAATGTTGTACCAAAGCCACACAAGCGATCCAACGCCTGTTCTCCTGAGATTTGGAAATGGAGTTGCAGCGTGACACTTATGAGCAATACATACAAGAACAGTGCTTACTGGATAAGGATGAAATGCTAGAACGGTTCCAAAATGGTGATCATGCAAAGTATTTACGGCAATGTGCAGACATATGGGAGAAGTACCAACAGTGTTGCCAAGATGAGTAGGCAATGCAAGAACGGAGAGTTAAATACGAGCAGCTCGAGGCTCTGATTACCAACTTGCTTCGACAGATAAATGAGATGGGCGGTGATGTTTAGATGGTTCGCTATTCATGTACTGTATCTGCACAAGAACCTACCTTGATATTGTTTCCCCCGGAAAAGATCTTTAAAATATTGTTGCAAGTCTTGATGTTGCTGAATCTATATATAGGGCTTCCATCCCAGAGTCGGAAGAGATAGCCTTGTCTTCTACATTGTTCAGATCTAAACTAAACTATAGTTTATAGTATATATGCACATGTATAATATTTACACAGAAAAAGGTCCATTCCCCATCAATCTATCAAATCACACAATGCACTTGAACGAACGAACAATCAATCAAAACCACTAATATAAAGGATGAACAGGTCGGAAAGCAGCAGGAGTAAGTCATTCACTTCATTCAAACAACTCCACCAACAATCCCCCCTCCCAAATCACCATTAGCATTCAACCACCTCTCATACCGTCTCCTCATCTCATGCACAACAAACGCCGTCCCACTCAACATCACAAGCGTAATCACATCCGCTCCACCTAACGCAGTCGTCTGAAACACCCTCTGCATTACCGGAACGTATACAAGTGCGAGTTGGACTAGGACGGAAATCCCGACTGTTGTGATTAACATTTTATTTTGAGTTAGGTGGCATCCGAGTCCTCGGTTTTGCAGTGCGGAGACGAGGTCGAGGAAGACGAAGGTTGTGAATGTCTGTGTGGTTGAGGTTGATATATTAGTAATCCTTTTTAGATGAGAAAAGAGGAAAGTGGCGAAGAGGAGGAGAATTATTTTGTGCGTACGTACCATCGTCTGATCCCGACTTGATATCCGTGAATCGCCAAGGGCAGTCGCATAGATAAAGAGCGTACCAAACACGATCACAGACGCAGAGAACACCACCCTTCCAACTACCCGTCTACTAATCACTTCTTCGTCCTTCTTCCGAGGTGGTTTTCTCATCACAGCAGGATCCGCCGGGTCTACACCAAGTGACTGACTCGGCGGGCCTACACAAACGCAAACACACACAACAAAAAGAACCCCAAAAAACTTCAGTCAATGTAACAAAGAAGCGAGAGAAGGAGGAGAATGAAATAAGCAACGCACCATCCATAAGTATATTAATAAACAAAATCTGCATTGCATTAAGCGGATTATGCAATCCAAACATCGTGCTCATCGTAATCAACGTCAACGCCGCGACAGCCGTACTCAACTGAAACGAAAGGAAGTTTTGAATGTTATAGAATATCGATTTGCCCTCTTCTACAGCGGAGAGAATTGTACTGAAGTTATCGTCGACGAGGATCATGTCTGCTGCTTCTTTCGCTACGTCTGTACCGCTTTTGCCCATTGAGACGCCGATGTCGGCCATTTTGAGTGCAGGGGCGTCGTTTACTGGAACCCAAACGAGAAAATGAAGGACGTTAGTAAAAGATCAAGAATTTCTTGGTTTTGATAATGAAGTGAGTAGTTGAAGCGGATTACTTACCCCCATCGCCCGTCATCGCTACAACATCCCCACGAGCCCGATACGCTTCCACAATCGCCATCTTATGCCTCGGCGTCGTCCTCGCAAACACCGCAACACTCCCAATTCGATCTCTCAATTGCGCAGGTGACATCCGGTCAATCGCAGTTCCCGTCACGCACCCCGCACCTCCAGAAGGCACAATCATACCCAACTGTCTCGCGATTGCCAACGCAGTATGCTCTGCGTCACCAGTTATCATCACAACATGTACACCTCCAGCTTGTAATGCCGCGATCGAATCTGCAACTCCCGGACGCGGTGGGTCAAGCATACACTGGAACCCGACAAATACCAGACTTTGAGTCTGATCGAGGGTATCAACTGAACCGAAACCATACGCAAGTGCGATGACTCGTAACCCACGACTTGCCGCCTCCGTCGCCTTTGCAAGGATCATGTTCCGCAAAGTGGTGTCAAGAGCAGGCGATGCGTCGTCTGAAACGTAGTAGAACTTGCATCGGTCGAGCACTGATTCCAAAGAACCTTTCATATAACACCGCTCCCGAGTATCGGGGTCATTCATAAAGGACCCGCTCACAGCCATGTACTTCTGCTCGGAGTTGAACGGACGTTCTGAGAGGCGGTTGAATTCCTGTGAAGTTACATGACGCGGGAGTGAGATCATTAGTTCCAGAACCCTTGTTCACGATAAACGAGGAATAGCTATACGTACCGGTTGCGGGTCCGACAAGTCAAATATTCGCAAAACATTTATCAACGCCACATCGGTGGACTGCCCCACGAATACACCCAATTCGTTCTCTCGTGCATTATTACATACCGATCCAACTTGTAGCGCCTTCCTCAAAGTGGGAGTCAACTTAGTATTAGGCGGCAGACCATTCCCATTCCCATTCTCGACGACTATCATCTCGTCGACCGTGTAGATCTCAATGACAGTTTGTTCGTTTTTCGTCAACGTCCCTGTCTTGTCAGAACAAATCACGCTAACAGACCCAAGCGCCTCCACAGAAGGTAGCTTTTTGACAATCGCGTTCCGTCTTGACATCCTCAAAACGCCAAGAGCGAGCGTAACGGTCGTTACGATGGGGAGACCTTCGGGTATAGCAGCCACAGCAAGGGATACTTTACTGAATCAAGTCAGCTCGGCACGAACATTTTCCAAAAACAAAAAGAAGTAAAAAAAGGGAAGATGAGAGGAGAAGGGACGAATATATGGAGGAGAAGGGACGAATATATGAAGGAGAAAGAGAAGGGCGGACGAACCTCCAATAGTAAACATCTCCAACCAATGTCTCTTCTGTAAGATCCCAATGACGCATATGACGCCAATAACACCAAAAGAGAACATAGATAACTTCTTGGCTAGTTCGTCCATGTTAAGCTGCAACGGTGTGCGTTTTTCTTCGACCTGTAAATATTTAAAAATAAGTATAAGTAAACGTCGGAATACACATAATAAGAGACGATCAAGGGAAAAGGAATGGATGATGGATGATGGATGATGGATGATGGATATACTAGAATAGTACTGACATCCTGCATCATCGAAAAGATCACCCCAAACTCCGTTTGTCCACCAGTAGCAATCACGATTCCCTTTCCGTGACCATTCCTAACCAAAGTACCCATATACGCAATACACGTCCTCTCAGCAAGAGCAACCGTATCACCCGTTCTCGCTTGTTCCGTCCCACGCGAAACAGCCTCAATACTCTTAACAGCAGGCTTCGTCTCCCCCGTCAAACTGCTCTCATCAATCTCCAAATCCACAGCAGTCGTAAGTCGGATATCTGCAGGTATCCGATCTCCTACTGAGAATGTGACTAGGTCACCGGGTACGAGTTCGTTTGCGAGGATGTTTGTTGTTTGGCCGTCTCTATTCATTTCAAATGAGAGAAGAAAGGATTAAAGGGGGTAGGAAGGAAAAGGGGTAAGAAGTTAGTGTGGTTACGTTCGAGAAGAAGTAGGGGTGGGTAAAAGTGAAGAGACGGACCTGGTGAGATGGCAATAGTGCGGAACTAGCTTGTTTAGCGCTTCTAGTGATTTTTCCGACCGCCGTTCTTGTACGAAGCCGACTGCGGAGAAGGAGAAAAAAAATCAACTTTCAGAAACGTAATTACTAAGACAGATTGTAGCTGAAGAGACGTACCAGTAAGGACAATTAGAATGGCAATCGTAATGCTAACCGCATCATCTATATTATGCATCACAGCGGACACAACAGCACTCCCAAAAAGCAAGAGAATTAGCGGTTGCTCGTATATCGATTTGACGAATTTGATGAGGACATGTTCGGGAGCGGCGACGGAGAACTCGTTGTAGCCATGAATTTCTCGGAGAGGTGGGATAGCGCTGGAGGAAAGGCCATCTGTGAGTGATGTGTTGAAGTGGCTTGCTATGTCCTATCAAATTATCAAAATTATGATGCTTAGTTACGTTCATCAAGGAAGACAGAAATAAAATAAAATAGAGTAAAAATAAATAAGTATTGAGGCAAGGCTGACTGACGCGTACCTCTACTGTTGTGTGTGCATGGATAGATGATGGCGTCTCCTCCGTACTTTTCTCTACATGCCCATTAACATTCGCAGACCCGTTCATCATCAAACCTTCTTCCATTCGGTATGCTTCGGTGGAAGGTCTACCAGAGATAACACGTCCCAACAATTCCACGCCCTCGTTACTAACAATCCGTGCCAGCGAGCGTAGCTTAGACGAAGCAGAAGAAGCAGAAGAAGGTCCCGCAGCAGAACCAGACATATGTCCCGAGTCAGAAATAGTAAGAGTATTATGTCGTCTAAGAGTAGTGCTATACGCAAAGTGTGCGCTGGCGTCCTCAGAGGCGGTGGGCTGCTGCTCTGATCCTGAGAAGCCAGAAAAGTAAGCGGAGGCCGGGGGAGAGGCGTCGCGCTGTTGGTGGGTTAGGGATGCATAGCCTGGGCCCCTGCCTGCGAGCGGCTGCCGGGAGAGTGAGGAGGCTGTTGAGAAGGAGGAGATGTGACCGCCTGTGCCTGTGCCTGCACCTGCTGTGCGAGAGGCAAAGAGCGGGAGCTCGTTGGAGGCTGAGCGCTTTTTTTGGTGGGCGTGCATGATGGACAGAGTAGTTAGACAGTGGTAAACGTGATTAGGCGGTCATAGAACGACAAAGATATTCGAGGACATTGGTTCCGTGCAGGACCAGAGTAGACACGTCGTTGCCTGAACCGGAGTGTCCGCGTCGCTGATAGTCGTGCGAACTACCTTCCTAATATATACGCCTTACTCGTGCTCTTTCTTCGCTTGGCCTAATAATTTGGCGATGTGTAGTCATGAGGGCTTGTTTTAGTGCATTATGCAACGAAGCATCAATCTAGCAATGGCAACAGAACACAACATGTGTGTGCGTCATACATAGGAGTAACGATAGAATGTAGTAAAGCAAAGAAAGGAGCATCTTAAAGCAAACGTGGAACACAACAGAAATAGGACAGGGTGGAGCGCGCTGAGATACGTAATACATAACGCGAGTGCGACAAAACGGAACAATAACAAGCGTAAGGCGAAGTGAAGATGAGAGACAGCGATTGAGAGGGAGAAGGGATAGAAGGATGTAAATAGCATCGCGTGATATAGGGAAAGAAAAGAGGAGTCCAGCCCCGAGGACCTACCGTTCGCTCGTTAAGTACGTTGTACGCATATGGACATAAATTATAGTTCGCGCCCCGCCCGTCGGGAGTGGTTAACGACATCGCCGTTGTCCGGTGGCAATGTCAGCGCGAGGGTTGGTACACTCTAAATATGGGAAGACGATGCCATTAGCGTAGAGTTCGAAAGACAAAAGAAGGTCAGACGTTTGGACCAATGGATAACCCTTGGCTTAGTATGCTCGCCTCACTGAGACCAGCATATTGAGCGCTCAAACAAGCACGGAGAACTAGGGGACATTAGTGTAACAAAATGGAGAGAGAGAGAGAAAATGGCGAAACCAACGGGGAGGAGTGGAAGATAGAAAGTCAGACTTAATCAGCAATTTCTCCCCCACTCCACCCCACCCCTCACACAAGCAACGAACTGCATTACGTTATGTGAGTGGGCCCCAACCCTTTGGCAAGGGTGGAGTGGGCACGGGAGCCACCCGTGCAGTTGACATACGTGTGCATGCAACCTTTTAATGGGACCCATTTTTGCGCGAGTGGGGATGCCGTCGACAAAGAGGGGGCCCAGCCCCTCCTCGACGATCGCATCCGCTGCTCGTCCCGGGGACGCAACCGACAAGAACGGGGAGCCAGCCCCTCCTCGACGATCACACCCGCCGCCCATCCCAGCAGAGACGGCCAACAAAGAAGGCGGCCAGGCCCTGTTCGAAGGTTGCGTCCAGCCGCTCGTCCCGGGTACACAATCTACAAGAAGGGAGGCCAGCCCCTCCTCAACGATCGCTTCCCGACGCTCGCACCTGTAAAGAAAGAAGAAGAAAAAAGAGGAGAAGGCCTCGAGCCCCTCCTCGACGACCGGATCCCGCCGCTCGTCCCAGTCTGAAACGACCGATAAAATGGCATCTAGCCCCATCTCGACAATCACGACCCGCTGCTCGACTACATGATCTAGAAAAGAGGGAATCCAGTCCCCCTACAGGATAGCATCCTGCCAAAATTCTTTGATCAGTGTCAATACTCGGGAGTCACTCAATGACAAGGAATGCTTATTAACTCTTTGCTGTCGCATCCTGCCAATATCCTCCAGCTCGCATTGGTCCGGGTAAGATGACTTTCTAAGCTCCCCCTCAACAATTCTGCTACACCTATAGACGGAGTTAGGATGGATATGAGACAACGAGATGAAAAGGAAATCAGACAAACCTTAACCTCAGCCCGCTCGCGTACGTCCTGCGGTCCTCCTTATGACCCGATGACTCTAAGCTCTAGCATGACGTAAGAAGGCAATCTTTCTCTTCAGCCAGCCCAGGAACGAGTTCGACCGAGCCGGCTCTGCCGAACGTCCTCTTCCGACGTTGCGGGAATGCGCTGTAACCATCGAATGGGGAGATGGATTTGACATCTGCGGGACATTGATTATCCCGAGGCCAACACGCTGTGGTATTTGGCCATTTGCGGGCCACCACCAATCGCAACCAGGACTAGCCTTGTTGCTGGGACGTTTGTTGATGGGACATCTGGCTGCCTCCGCGAGTTCCGCGACGGGAACGGGCAAACGTTGAAGCGCGGGACGTCGTGATCTCGTTTCCCTCCCTTTCCTAGACGGTTCATTGTTCGCCACTGCAAAAGGCGGACTTGCCACTGTAATCGTATTTGCATACATTTCGTCGAGCTGCGGGACGTTGAAAAGGCCAAGTCCGAATAAACCACGCGCTCTAAATTGGACCGCCCTGTTACATGCTGGTGAGAACGTAGGCAGGTCCGGTGTCTCTATATATTCAATGTCGACAACCTCGAAACCTGAGGACAGCGCAGGAGAGGCGGCAGTGCCAGCCGCCGCCGACCGGCGAAGTTGTTTGAACACGTAGGTCGAATAAGACGGACTCTCGTAGCCCCCGTTCGGGCGCGTTGACGCTTTTCCGCCTGAGTGAGGGTCCCTCGACTGATTTGGCAGGGTACCCGTGGGGCGCTGGGCTAGCCAGGGTAGATACAGCTCCCAGCCGGTGGGAGCATTAACGGACGGGTGCCTGCACTCGTCAGCCTTGGTCATGGTGGGTTGTGGACATGAAGACACGCCCGCGTGTCCGCTTTCACTCTAGGAAGTGTATTAGTATAGGCTGCTTTAGTATGAGGAACGAAGGGCAGAGTACGAACGAAAGAGCTCGGCGTAGACATTGTAACTGAAGGTGGGGATATTGGCAGATAACGGTTCGAAGTCAAGATGGGAAAAGCTGAATGGCCAGAAACGCGAAGTTTATATATGGTCTGTCCAGGGCTGACACATTAGACCGGAGTGCGACTTGAATTCTCAAACATAGCAGACAGAGACAATCGTATCAAGTCCCGCTAGCTTTGACGCAAAAACTGGAACAACAGCCATGTCGGAAATGTGAAACACCAGAAAATATCGATAAAAGTAATTGATTTGAGACTACCAGTACCAGATTGCGTACGAATTCCTAGCTAGACGAGAAAGAACTCTGGTATTCTCTTATTTCGTAAGTTCGATCTTGCACAGGCACTTCAACCGCTCAAGCGTAAGGTCCGGGCGATGCAGCAGAAAAATGACGTGAAAACTATGTTAAGCGTGAAGGTGAGTGTCGAAGGAAGGAAAAGAATGTAATTGCAAATTAGTGATGCCCACCAGTTAGTACGACAAATCGCCGCAGACAGAACCCGCGACAGAAGAGGAGTATGCTTCTCACGACCATTGAACTACCAGACCGAAGCATTCCTTTAAACATCTTTTACTTGAATCTTCTCACGCATCAAAAATTATATGTTTCTTGTACAAATAACTTAATAATACATAATTCTATATGCGTGAGTTTTTTCAGACTGCTAGGAGCATCAAGAAAATTAATATGAGTGTAAGAAAAGAATGAATATGTCACAAAACCAGTTTGCGACCAAACGTCACGCTAGCATATTTCCATCCGACACCTCCCTTCGACACCTCTATTTATATTTATATCATTTCCCCTCCCTCTACTCCCATTCTCCTTTTTATGTGGGATTGTTCTTGAGCTCTATATACTAGTGGATGTACCCTCTGTTTCGCTGCTGTATATGCGTGCGTTATTTTTACGACCATGTCTCATTTTGTTACATTTGTTCAATTATACACGTCATATTAATTTATATTCTTGCTCAGTTTCCACGATATGACATACAAATCGTAGCTATTCATAATAAGAGTACAATAGTGTATATTTATTCTGGATGATTATGTACGAGTAATACGAAAAATATCGATTATAGCCGCTTGGTCAAAAATCACACAATTTCACTAGTATTAAGTTAATATACAATTAAATATCCTTTCGGATTCTTTCAAATTAGAAGACAGGGAGTAATGGCATGCATCTAAGTATTTTTACTCCTCATACTTTATTGACCGTCCGGTTGTAGATTTAAAGGAGGTGTTCGAAGGAACGGCGGTGCTCAAAGGATGATATTTGACTATATTCGTGAGAAACTGTTTCTTATTTCTGCTAATGTTACTCCAAGAATATTCTTACCACGAACCATTACTATAACTTGCATCCAAACAGTCATGTCTGGACGCGACCGCGACCTCCGCGATCCAGCAGACCGGCATAGGGACAGGCCTCGGGGAAGAGACAGAAGTCCAGGGCACCGTGATTATACACATGACAGAGATGAATATCGCGACAGGCGTCATCACCATTCGTGTTCACATTCACGCTCACCAACTCGGAAGCGGCGACACCATTCACACACGCCCTCTCCTTTGCGTTCGCGTTCATGCTCAAGGAGTCCTCGAAGAGCCAAAGGCAAAGAACGAGACCGAGATCGGGAAAGTAAACGTCGTTCGAGGTCGCGTTCACCGAAACGACACAGACGACGGCGGTCTCGGTCCAGTTCGTGCTCCTCTAGTTCCTCGAGTGATAGTGACAGGCATAGGAAGAAGCGAAAGGACAAGCATAGGAAGCGGAGTAGGAGTAGAGACAAAGATAGGAAGGAGAAGAAGAAATCGAAGAAGGACAAGGTATGTTATTGTCTTCACTGTCGTTCACTTCTCGAGACTCATTTCTCCTACAGAAGAAAAAGAAAGGCGCTTCGACGTCTCACTGGGGTAAATATGGTATCATAAACGAATCGAAGTAAGTGTCTGCATTGCATGAACTTGCACTAGTCTTAACTTCCCGGATTAACTTTAACTAACGAAATTGATTAATAGTATGTATGAAAAAGAAGAAGAGTTCCGAACATGGCTCGTCGAAGAACGCATGATCAACCCCGAAATCATTTCAAAAGACCAAACCAAAAAGGAATTTGCAAAATTTGCAGAAGACTATAACACAGGTCCGTTCTCCCCATCCTCCATCCCCAGATTACTCATTTTCAGGAATTAATTTCATAATAATTCGACAGCGACGCTCCCACACGAAAAATACTACAACATCTCATCCTACGAACGTCGCATGTCTCTCCTCCGGAACGGCGAAACGCTTCCACCAATGGATGACACATACAACCCCGACGCAGACCTCCGCGCGCATTCCAGTGCACACAAGAAACCCGTAGCAGAGAAAGAAACGTATATGAGTAAAGAGCAGTTACAGGAGTTGAGAAAGGTACAGCAGGAGAGGAGTCAGGTAGGGAAGATGAAGTTGATGGGTATGAATATCGGACAGTCGTTTGGTGTTAGGATGGATGGGAGTGAATTTGATGGCTGAGGTATTAAGTACTATTCGGGTATTGGCTGATGGGTAGAGTGATTCGAAATGTTTGTTCAGGTTATATATGAGGACTGCGCAACGAGTATCATCGGGCTTTGGTCCCTTACTCTCCACTCGGTTTTTGTATTATTAATATCGTCATCTGAAGGATGTACTGACGCTTATGCTCTCTCAAATTTCTCAGTCGAGATATTAATACACAGATGATTATTTTTGTCATTTTCGTCGTTTATGACAAATATGGAATCTTCATCCATTCTCTACAGTACATCAAACTCAGTCAATAATACACCCATTTACTAATTGGTTGGGGACAATAATATTAAGATGGTAAATTTCACGCGCACACTCTCTATAGATCTGTAGGTCCGAGTATACAAGCAAATATCCCTCTGCAGGTTTCCACATCTCGATAGTTCCGAGGCAGTGCAAGTTGCATTTGCTTAAGTAGGTGTTTCAGCCATTGCAAGACCTAAGCCGCTATTTATTATTACCAGTAATAACTATCACTCGGGTGTCGAGATCTCTTTTCGAGATAGCGTCAGACGAGGACCTTAATTATTTGAATATGCATACACGTGTACAGTGTATGTATGCATATGTGTGTTGATACAAGATCGCTCACGCAAATGGACAAGCTTTTGGTATCAGGGTATCAGGTATATAATGTTGTGGTATACGTGAAATACACGGCTTTTGCAGGAATATAAATGTGTTTATATGCTATCATGGTAGTCCAAATGAAGAATAAGAACAAGGAGTAAGTTAGAACTGAAGAAGAAGGAAAGAAAGAGAAAGCAAGTGAATAATAGTGGATATGGAGAATAGCTTAAATATGCAATACTAATAACAATAATGTCCAATGAATAAGTTATAAAAATGATTAATATGGATTTTTGGAGTTATTGTTCGCAAAGTGGGGGATGTTCTGGAGAATACTGTGGCAATGCAACAATAAATCAACTGAAGGAGCACTGATTCCCTGGACTACCCCATCTGTCAGATATACAAGCATATGCAGCTTTTGATGCTATTACTGAGAAGGGGTCTAGAAAACATGAGTTGCACAGTAAGTAAATATCACAAGTCGAGTCGAGTTGAGCAAGATGGACTGACTGTGACACAGCGAACTCCACGGGATATGCACCAAGCACAGGGAGGGGGTGGTAAAGTATTCTGTGGACGTTCACACTAAGAGAATCACGAGTGATACTATATGTCAGTGTCCTATTAATTTGAATTGAAGAATACAGAACATACTCTACGGCGAGCCCTCCTGCAAGCATCGCACGGTGTGGGACGTCTCGGTTTCCCGTGGACTTGCATATAGTGCGGGTCATAGTTGACAAAGTTATTGTTGAAATACGGCCCAGCCATTACAGACCAATGCGAATGAAGAGATATGTGAAATAAGACAATGAGTTACAGGTGTAACGAAGAGCGGATGAACAGAAGATACGATGAAGCTCACCTGTTCTTATAACTTGACCTGACACTTGCAGACAGACGAGAATAGATAACAGCTCCGGAGTATCCAGAACATACTGACCTGTGTGGCTTCTATATGAGCACGAAGTCATAACATGAGGCTGGGTATGTTTTTACGGTCCCTTTGACGAGTCAAGCAAGATGAACGCGACGGAATGTGATGCGCTCAAGTACAGCGTCGAAAAGAAATGCTGTGTGATAAAAGGCCTAGACAACGGAGCAACGGACGATGAAGCCGAGAGCAGGTGAGTGCACAGTGCTAACCGCAATTCAACAATAGGATGAGAAAAGTTGTTTCAAACAAGCATTCGTCTCATCCAAGTCGTTTCAGTCGTATGTCGAGTGAAGTGAAGCCAAATAACAATTATGCCGCTTTGACAGGTCTGAGGAACAATCCCAAATTCAGGCGTTTGATGACAGGCACAGCAGCAGAACTACCAGCAACAACTTTTGACATAGTTCATGTGTGTGCCGTATTAGCAAGGGTGCTAGTTAGTCACGTCCATGTGCTCATCAATTGGTTTATCAGATAAGGGTCGTATCTAAAGGCGTATGATACTTGTAGACAGTAGTAGAGTCAGAAAGGGGGCCATGAAGGTGCGCTGTAACCCGGTGTTGCACAGTGCGTACCACGATAGCTATTCATGGCAGCCATAACAGTCTCAGATACCAAAATGGGCCGGGCCGGTAGATATCAGCAACGTGTCTGGAATCTGGATCCTATGGCGCGAACGTAGTGAAGCATTTGGGAAGCTACCCTGCACACAACGACATGGTTTCTACAACCATTCCGAGTCCACTGACCGTGTTCTATATTAGATGGTGACGATTAGCTCGATCTTTGAGTATGTGGAATTAAAATATCTCGCTGACACCAACCAAGGATTGTCCGAATACACAGGTGATATGGTCACCGGAATAACAGATACACGGATCCTTACGAGGCGGCGGTCGCAAAGCCCGTGATCGATAGGTCTACAGAAGGACGTCGACGTCACGACATAAGGTTCTAATTTAGCCCATCTATAAAAGAGCAGGAAACAGTTTACATAACATTCCAAACCCAACCCGAAGTTGCGTGAACCGCGTTGACTTGGACAATGTACTGTACCACCAACCCTTCCGACAAACCGAATGCGTCAACTAAAAGCTCGTGATTGAATCCCTGGGTAGGCGTTTGGGAGAAAGGGAAGATATGAATAACAAGTTTCTTGATGGATGATCTCTGACGTGCTGCGCGACGAGTATTACTGGGCATCGTTCTATTCTTGTTATTTGTACTATTCTGGAGAGGCACTTCTGCGTGTAGTTTCTTACTCTTTAACTTTTACTGTTATCTCCTTGGACATCATCTCCAGAAAATACGTATGCTGGAAAAAAGAAAAATCGGATCTCATGCTAAAGGAACGCATTTGGTATCAGGGTATTACTTATATTAATGGTATACATATATAATTATGAAGGACTTCAACACGCTTGTATATTATCAAACTAGTCCAGACGAAGGATATGGAAGGGGAATAGATAAAAGTTGATTTAAAATGATCGAAAAATAATGGAAGGGAAAGAAAGGAAATAATAACAGATGTGTATGAACACGTGATGAGTATACTGTCCAGCGTCCAACATGTCCTTAATAAACTGCAGCAAGGAAGAGGAAAGGGGACAATGAATTACGAAGAAGGTTAGATGGAACTTTGGAACCATTGTTCGCGACGCCAGGCACGATCCTGGTTGAATATGATGCGGCGGTGAATAAAGCGGAAAAGAATTTGCTCCCCAAACTACTCTGTCCATTGGGTATCTCGAGTACATAGGTATATATGCCTTGCGATGCTTCAGTTCTGAAGCGGGTGCTGAATCTGGGACTGGAAAATGCAGAGTGGTGCAACAAGTTATTACCAAGCTAAGTAAATTTGATTCAGGAGGGCTGGACTAACCGTCACGCAGCTCTGTCCACGCGAATTGCAATATGCGCAGGGAGGAAGCGGCATAGTCTGTGGGCGATCGCACTAGAAGGAAAAGAAATCATGTGAAAATAGTGGGTCATTTTGTTTCCAAACGTTCAATGAAGGGAGATAATGGCTCACTTTACGACGGGCCCTCTTGCAAGAATCGCACGGTATGGGACGCCTCGGCGTACCACCGTTCTGTCGCATGTAGTCTAAGTCGTAGTTAACGAAACCTGACATCGTCGGCGAATATGATGGATGAGAATGCAAGCTGGAATAGTGAGACAAAGGTGGTTGCTTCGACTAAGGGAGACGAACGGAAAACACAATGAAGAAATGAGTAGTTTCTCGCCCATTCTTTATACCATAAGCATTTTACAGCAACAACAGCATCGGTGCCATGAGGATGTATTCTAGGCAAGTACAGTGTATGAGGTTCAAGTCATAATAAGTAACCAAGCATGTTTCTGCACCCTCTTTGACATTTGACGGAAGGTGAATATAACAGTAGGTAGTGTGCCCGAGTACAATGTTAAAGAATGAGCTGTGTTACAAAAAGTATCCAGTCAGGACAGAGCGGGAGGACAATTAATCTGAGAGCAGGCGGGAGTGTAGTTCCGACAGTGATGCACCAGCACAGAAAGGTCGCAGTTCTACTTATCCAAATTATACCAGTCGTATGTTGAGCGCAGCAAATACAAATATCCATCATATTGCCTTGGTTTGAAAGTCCGAGGATCAATCCAAAAGCAGAGGGATGTGATGAAAAGGTACAGCAGTGGAAGCAAGGCGAGAAAATTTTCGGGAAGATTCATACATCCCATCTTGGCAAATGTTTTAACTAGTCATGTCCATCTGTTCAACAACCGGCTTATCAGATAAGGGTCGTATCTGAAGGCGCATTATGTTGAACGACACTAGTGGTGTGAATAAGACTGCTATGGAGACCTGCAATTGTTCTGTATCGCACAGCATGAAAGTGAAGCAAAGACAGCCATAACAGTCAAAGCCACCAAAGTGGGTCAAACCTAATGACTTCATGCAGTGAAATATACAAGGTACTGACATAGCATACAGTTACTTACCTTGTGCACAACAATATCGTTTCAACAATGATTCCGGGTTTTTTTTGCCCGTGTTCCGTCGTACATAGGGACCGGCGGCTCGATTTTTGCGTATTAGATATTGCAGTATTTGTTGACAGAGACCACAGGCTATTGAAGTAACAGCTATACATTCATTGGAATAGCAGGGCAATACATTCTCACCGGGCGCTGCAGCAACGGTAAACGCAGGTGACCGACCGAGTCAGAGGAAGAAGCAAAGTCGACCTTCCAACATTCCGCTCCCGATGAAACAATAGAGTGGCAATTACGAAGACGTTTGCATAACAGCATGAGTCAAGCGGACCGATGCCGTTTGCACTTCGGTAGGCCAATATGCATCAGAGATGGCGGTACCCAGCACAGTACTTTAAAGAGCACGAAATTGAAGAAAGATAGATGTACACGGGTCTGTCAGGATGAGTATACAGTCATTACGACCATGTTCTTCTTGTGCGCGACGGCATGGGCACGTCACTATGAAAAGAGTCTTGACCACCTATCATCATCGTTTTGTCTAAATAATTAAATAAAGCGCGGGACAAGTTTCTGAACCTGTACTAGTTCCGCTTACTGTATCGGCAGCACCAGAGTCACGTGCATTCCCAAATCATGAACACAAGGTCCTTATCCTTTTCGGTGACAGCAGACCATAAGAGAAAAGATACGAACAACGATTTCATTCTTCTTGCAGCATAGAATCGAGTCAGATGTGAAAACACTTCATCTGAATTATGCTCACCTCTTGTTCCTTCCCTCCCGATTGAAAGTTACCAGACTTTGCGTATTAATCTCGGTGCTTCGTTTTTCTGCCCTACAGTGTATGCTTGCTCCAGGAGAACGACGAGGAATAAATGCTTTTATAACCGCGTCACGAGTAGTGCCTCTGGATCTTCCGCAAATCGTGGAACTCACAAATCGGGAAGCAGGGGCTAGTTCTCCAGAGAGTTGCAAAAGGATACAACACTCACAGACTCCTCCGAGCAACAAAAATGGCCATTCAAGCTGTCGGCAGTGGGGCTGTATGGAATGTATGTACAGAACGCTGGGCTACATCGGCAGCGCTTGAACAATATTGTGCACAAAAAAAGCATGCGAACACCACGTACTTTCGCAAATGGCCTTTCAAATTGTAGAGGGTGACTCTGTCACAAAATATGCAGATTCGTGAGTCGCAACGCTGTCCCTGCACGCTCAATACCTTTGAGACTTCATTGGATTAAAGTCTGATGAATGAGTCTTCGAGTCGTTTTCACACGTTCTCGGTGTTTCTTTACAATCCTTGTCAAACACATTCGATATGTCACGCCAAGGAGGTTTATGTGAGGAGATAGGCTTCTCTTGACAAAGTAGCAGACAACCATTCCTGGGTAATGGGGGATACGACTGGAATAGATAGTTGGTCATGTCGGCAAACTCCACAAATTTGATTGAGATTGAGAAAAACTTTCAAAAAGCGAATGTACCCTTGCTGACTAACAACTTACCAAAAACGAATCTTAGTCAGCACATAGTTTCACAGTCTCCACTAGGGACTGGCGTGGATAGGGGGATCCACGGTATCCATACTACGGATGAACTTTCCCACAGTATCCATACCAGTGGTTAAATTCCCACGGTTTCCGTGGTTTGCATGGTTTCCAGTGTAGCATGTCACAGTAGCATAACAAAATATAGTTACTCACTCATTTGCCTGTCTGTCTTGCTAAAATCTCAAAGAAACACAAACCCTACATCATAATTATCCTATGTCTGAGGATCAGTCTCCTCTCCTTTCAAATTTTCCCTATGAGAAGTATTACAACATGACCAGAGTGCTGGTTACTCCGGATGCTTCTTCTCTCACGTTCCAATCATGGCCATCACAAGAAGCTCTTTGTATAGGGCTGGCAGTAGAAGCTCCTACAGTACAGCTATCAAGACCTAGACAAAGGATTCAGAAAACACTGTCTGTTACTAGGATGAGTGATGCTGAAGTTTGGTCAATGTCAGATAAAGAAATAGTCAGTAAGCCATTAAAATGTATTCTTGTTTTCTTATACTGATTACATATAATTATTCTAAAGATTCTTGTCAAGTAGGATGGAAGTCACCAGCATATAGTCACTATAATGTTACTATTGAGTATACAGCAAATGGTGGTAATAAAGAGATTATTCTTGTCTTCTCTTACAAATTCAGCAACACAAGTCATCATCCTGTTTGTTGTGGCTGCACAAAAAATAGTAGTAGAACAGCCAACCTACTTTATAAAGCACAAATGTGTGACTCTCAGAGGAAGATATACCCATCTCTCAAAATTTCTGAGCCATTCATCCCTTATTCTGAGGCAACCCATTGAGCACTCATTGTCTTACAATGTACAGTCAACAATCAGCCCTTCAACTCTGTAAAAGACAAGTACTATTGTCTTGAAACAGAAATGCTTTGCTCTAGCACACAACTACCTACTCCCTCTACTGTTTCAAAAGATATTAAGAATATCTATAAGGGTCTGTCAATTCATGTACACAATTACTTTAAGGTATGTTATTCTTTCTTTTTTATTATTATCTACTTATGTATTTTATTAATACAGAACCAAAACCAAAGTGTACATTTTACAATAGATGGTTGGACTGCCCCTATAGTTGCATCCTATCTTAGAGTTGTAGTCATCTGGACTGATGCTGGAGTAATTCATTAGGCTATACTAGAGTTTATTTAGTGAGTTTAATATTGTATTCTCCTCTATTCATTTTGTACACTCTGCCATACTTTTATATCTCTATACACTTATTCTGCTAGACAACACCTTACAGGAAGTCTCCTTCCTTGAGCATGTACAGTCTGCTGCAGGCCAGTTTGATGCATACTGTAATAATATCTGAGTAAAACTAAACCCAACATATGTTTCTGTCAATAGAATACTCTCACACAAGGGTTTTCATACAAGTTCATTCAGATTAATTGTAAAGCTCAGGTGAAGGCATTTGTATACACTCTATAATCAGGGGAGGCAAGGGACTTGCCTGTGTTGAGTAGGTGATATATTCATTGTCTGTATATTAAGACATTGATTCTTAGGTCTCAAACCATGTATACAACAGAATGCTCTCATGTAAGAGTTTTTGTACAAATTCATTCAGTTTAGTCAAAATGCTTAGACAAAGGCATAGGACTCAGTATACACTTTGTCATCTGAGGATGCAAAGGGACTGCCCATGTTGAGTAGGTGGTATATTTGTCATCTGTATATTGAGACATTAACACTCAAGCTTTGTGAACAATAGAATGCTCTTATACAGGAGCTTTTGTACAAATTCATTTGAATTAGTCAAAAAGCTCAGACAAAGGTGTTTGTATTGTCACACTCATACAACACATACATTCCAATACATTCTGATTGGAAGGGCTCAGTTGTATCAAAGTTGTATCATCCTCATGTTAGCAATCCTTTGATTACATCATTATTGCCTACACAATAGTTTTGGTTGCTTAACTCAGACTAGTTGGGTTTCAGACTCTAGTTCTGTTGAGAGGGAGAACTTAAGGGGGGCACGCATAGACAAGGGGTGAGGTGACAATTGACTGCTCAGTGTCTCTCATCCTTATATTGTATGTATTCTAACTGAGACATTATGAAGTCATTGTCTTGTGGTTTGTCTGTTAATGAACTAATCATCTCATAATACTCCCCTTCAAACTCTTACTAGTCTGAGTAAACTGGTAAGATGTTTGACTTGTGGTACATGTAGTGCTTTAGTTAATATATCTGCTTGTTGATTGTTTGTCTGTATGTATTTTGCATTTATGTACTCTAACTCAATGTAGCATTTAATAAAATCTTTCTTATGATCTAAATGCTTTGTTTGTTCCGAATATTTGAGTTTGTCTGATGTAACCATTTGTATAACAGCATTGTTATTGCAATAGATATTAATTAGTGTATCAGAGACCTGCAGAATCTCTTCAGCTAAATGTGTAAGTACAATCACTTCCTGTGTTCCTCTTGCAAGAGCTATTAATTCAGCTTCAT